GGAGGGGTATGAGGATGATTGGACTCCGCGGAAGCAGCATGGCGTGTCCTAGCGGTAAAGGTCAGAACTGGTGTAACTAAAGAATGGAGCGCTCATCTGAACTTTAGCCATGGAAATAACGATAGATTAGCGGTAGGCTTGGAACATTTCGTCTGCGGAAGAGAAGTTTGCAGAGTGAAAAATAAATCTTCTAACACAAGACGACGTAAAGATTTTGTACACGTTGATAAAAAAGGAAGATTGTGTTTCATCATTTGTACGAGTGGCTGTGTCGAGAAAACAAAAGATTCAAAATTCAAGATTTCAGGCTTGCCAAAATAACCTTAGCATAACCTGAATATGAGAAATAAATTTATGAAAACCGTCACCCTCATCTTGCAAATATGCCTGCCTAAAAAAAAAAAAAAAAAAAAAATCAGCTTTCAAATTCCTGGGGTGTACTTGGGTTCGAACACAGGCCTCTAGCACCAACGTAACTATCTCAGCTAAGATGCCGAGGATGTTAGGAGATGACTATACTTGATGAAGGATACACGACCGAAATTTGCCGAGTGCCTACGGAAATTGACGATCTTACCTGACACAAAACAACTTATCAGCACACAAAGTACGACTATTAGATGGCTCATCATTATCATCATCATCATCTTCTTTTTCTTCTTCTTCTTCTTCTTCTTCTTTGTGCCGTATCAATTTAGGATTCAGGCGATCACGGATTTCCACATCTTTCTATACTTCCTATTTTTTTCCTTTACCAGTGAGCAACTCAAAGACTGGTCAAGAAACTCTCCTGATTTAAATCAAGTCGAGAATCTGTGGTCAACCTGCAAGGAACGACTTTGTGGAGTGGACATACGATGTACTAACATGTACAATGTTTCATTGGAAAAATACGAAGAAAAAAAAAAGGTACATAATAACAGAATTATTCGTTTTGTTTCTGTTACTTTGCACAAGATTTTACTGCAAACTCTGCGTATAATATCTGGTGGTACTATGCAGGAGGCTTGAACCAGAACGACAACATTTAAATCATTTTTACTTTAAGTAAACGCATAAAATATGAAGACATTTAAACGAGGTAAGTCGATTTTGTTGTCACGAACAAATGTTTTCTTAGCCAAAAATAAATAAATAAAAGAATTAGCAAATATATTTTTATCCTTTAATTCAGTCGAATAAATAAAAGGAAGTAAGTTGGTCCGAACAAGAAATTGAATTTTGGTAAGACAGGAAAAGGAAACGTTCAGTTCCCTCCTGAAAATTCTGAAGCAAAAAGAATTCAAAATAAAAAAAAATAAAAAATGGAGAACAATTCTTGTTTCTCTTCCATGCAAAGGCAAAAATAGAATGGAATATTTATTTAAAAAACAAACTATTAAATTTACATCAGCTCAATGCTGTCTACTTGTGAACACTTGGCGGCAAAAGATCTATATCCATATAAGACGTTGATATTTACTTAGATTTGCTTAGTAAGGTACAAGGACAAATTAAATGGGGTAAATGTTAGGAATGCTATTGCGCCAGTCTTGCAGGTGAGTAGGCTTTGCTTATGCAAAAATCCAAAATTCAGAATCTTATCTTTTGCTATATATTAAAATTAGTTTAGCACAGCAAAGAACAAAATTAAAGTTAAATTTAAAAAAAAAAAAGAAGATTGTGTTACGTCAATTTGGCTAGTGGTTTGTATCTGTATCTTCCTACCGAGAAAACAAAGAATTCAAAATTCGAGATTTGAGTTTTACCAAAATAACTTTAGTATTGCCTGAACGAGAGAAAGAAAATCAGAACGACAGCGTGTTGCATATCTTGTGGATAAGGAGATGCTGATCTAAAAAAAATCAGTTTCAAATTTCCGGAATTTACTTGGGTTCGAACACTGAACTCTAGCACCAACGTAAGTATCTCAGCAAACATGCCGAGGATGTTATGAGATGACTGCTTGATGAAGGATACACGACCGAAATTTGCCGAGTGCCTACGGAAATTGACGATCTTATCAAACACAAAACAATTTATCAGCACACAAAGTACGACTAAAAGATGACATCATCATCATCATCATCTTCTTCTTCTTCTACGTGCCGTATCAATTCAGGACGTGGATCTCCACTTCTTCCAATACTTTGAAGCTTATATCTCGAGATTCTTGACAAAATACAAAGAAGGGTCTATAATGTAATCGAGACTTACCTGGCATCTCGGCTTTCATTCACTTTTCACTCAACGACATAATACGGCTTCTCTCTGTCTTTTCTATAGATATTTTATTGGGAATGGTTCTGATGAGCTTTTCTCTTTGGTGCCTCGTCTGTATGAATTTAAATGTGCTACTAGATTGGCAATTAGGTCACATCATTTTACCGTTGAACTAGTTAACTGCAACCGTTTGTTCAATTCTAATAGTTTCTTTTCTCGCACTTCTCACCTGTGGAATTCCCTTTCGGTTTGTTGTCTCCCTACCACCTAAAACCTTAAAATATGTCAATGCAACGCC